CAATGTAGTGGCTGACACCCTAAGCCACAAGGCGGTTGCAGCCCCGATCAAGCAGAGTATATCATCTGAGAAGCTAGCCGATATTTATGTGCGCGAGGTAGTAGCACGGAATGGAGTGCCTGTATCAGTAGTATCAGATCGAGATGTCCGGTTCACTTCCAGGTTTTGGAAGCGGTTTCATGATGAGATGGGGACTTGTATTCATTTTAGCACTGCTTTCCACCCTTATACTGACAGGCAGAGCGAGAGGACGATTTAGACTCTTGAGGACATGCTTCGGGCATGTGTCCTAGACTTCGGTGGTAGTTGGGATACGTATCTTCCACTAGAGAAATTTTTGTCTAACAATAGTTACCAAGCTAGTATTGATCGCCCTCCTTTAGAGATGGTCTACGGGAGGAAGTGTAGGACCCAAATTTGTTGGGGCGAGGTCGATCAGCGAGTCATCGGGAGAACTGAGGTGGTGCACAAGACCATAAAGTTGATCCAACAGGTTCGTAGCAGACTGCAGACTGTGCAGAGTCGGCAAAAGAGTTACGCTGACAAGAGGCGTACGGACTTGGAGTTTCAGGTCGCCGATATGGTCCTCCGAAAGGTAACACACTGGAAGGTTGTTATAAGGTTTCAGAAGAGGGGCAAGCTGGGCCCCAGGTTCATTGGTCCTTTTAGGGTTTTGGCGCGGGTGGGTTAGGTTGCTTATTGGTTGGATCTTCCGGCAGAGCTTAGCTAAATCCACAACACTTTACATGTTTCTCAGCTGAGGAAGTATTTGGTGGACGAGTCAACGGTTGTACTCTTAGAAGATATTCAGGTTGATAGCAGCCTGAATTATATCGAGAGACCAGTTGCGATCTTAGATCGGAAGACGAAGACCTTGAGGAACAAGGTGGTTCAGTTGGTGAAGTTGCAATGGCAGCATCGAAAGGGTTTAAAATGGACGTCGGAGACCGAGGGGAAGATAAAGGAGAATTATCTAGAGTTATTTTCAGATTCAGCAGCAGCAGACTTTGAGGACGAAGTCTAAGATAGGTAGGGGAGAGTTGTATCGCCACATTTCTGGTATGTAATTTAAATAAAGTATTTTCATTTCTTAAGGGATGCTCAACGAGTGTGTAGCCTGACTCTTCGAGTAGATACGAGATGATCATGAGATTTATGTTGGCTACTCGACGAGTCCATGTGCTGGGACTCGACGAGTCTGCCTATCTGGATGAAGACCTAATTTCAAGGGTTTGCACCCTATTTAAACACATTTATGCTCCCCAAAGCAGCCTCCATCACCCTTAGAGTGTCCTTTACCAAACCCTAGCCTCCCTTTAAGCTTTTTGGAGTATTTGTCATCTTGTGAAGGGTTTTTAGTGCATTTTGAAGTTAGAAGAAGAAGAGAGAAGAGAGATTCTCAATAGGAGCAAAGGAGATTTGAGTTTCTTATGTCATTCTAGCCTCCATTAAGGCATAAAGCTCAAATTTTGGCTTGTCATCATATAGATCTTCTTAAAAGCTTGCTAGTGTTTCTTCTTTTGTCATTTTCTAGACATTGAGGTTGTTTTTATGGGAAGTTAAGATGAATGGGTTTCAGATCTAAGCATTCCTGGACTCCTTGAGCTCAAGGTTACCACCTTTATTGAGTTAAGCACTCATTACAAACCTAGATCTCCTCTTTTAGCTTCTTATGTGCTTGCATGAACGTAAAGTTAGAAACTTTACGTGTGAAATTAGTCCTAGGAACCCAGATCTATGTAGTGGATGCACTGGAATCATGCAAAATCTACTGTATAGTAATGACATACTTGGGATTCGGCGAGTTGTTCTTCAGACTCGACGAGTCTAGTTGCAAGTCCCCGTTTTTCCCCGATTTGAGAGTTTAGGGTGAATCAGTGAGTGGGGAAGGGACTCGGTGAGTTAGAGTCAAATCTAGTGATGGAGGTCTCGGAGAGTCTGGTCAACTGAAAGTTGACTTTGACCAGGGGTAAAATAGTCATTTTATCCTAAGGGAATTTATCAGTGACTGATTTAATGTTTTTGGAATTTGTAGCCGGGGAGTTCCGGAGTAGCAGTCAGCCAGTTTTAGAGTCAGTATCTCAGAAGCTAGCGTTACGAGGTGAGTTTTCCTTCCAGTAGGAACGAGTCTACGACAATACTGTCGGCCTGATTAATTAGCAGTAGTTTCGGACTTAGGTCCGATACAGTAGTTCAGGGAGCTTCATGTCTTTGTGATTCAAGCATGTCTTTGTGTTATGTGTTCCGGACTTTGTAGAATCTATGAATCGAGTTTGAATATTAATCAGAGTAAGTAATCAGAAATTGTATGAAAGATTGAACACTGATGTAAATAAGATAGTGATTCAGCTCAATATTATGCTTTAGGTTTATAGAGTACAAAAGTAGACAAGACTGCAAAAACCTTATCTAACTCTAGTAAAGACTCCTATTTATAGGAGAGTAAAAGCGTACAAAAAATATACTATGCACTAGACATCAAAGCTTTGTATAAAATGCCTTAGTAAAATAGATATCAAAATATATGAAGAGTACATACAAGACTTTGACTCTTTACATCCAAACTACTCTTACATTCTCCCCCCTTGTAAATAGAGTTGAAGACTTCATTTTGTAAGAAGTTGAATGGAGTACATCATTCTTTTCGTATCCCAGTATACCAAGAGATGATTTTTTTCAATTCCTTCTTATCACCTTCATTATTCTTCTTGCAATGGTTCATACGAACAATCAAGTTCGTATCTTGCGAAGTAGAATATCTTTCAACTTCACTTGCCTGGAACAAAAATCTCTTTGACTTTCCTGACTTGTCCTTTCCAGAGAAGACTAACCCAAAAGGCTTCAAGCATATTTCACCATCTGCATATTTCTTCAAGTCTACTTGAATCTTTGAAGGATCCGTTGGTGCTGTAATTCCCAGACCTTTTGTTGTAGCCAACTCCACATCCTTCATTGCCAAAAATTCATAATAATATTCGATAAAAATCTTGATGTGAGTAACTCCCAGCTTGTATTCATCAGGATCTGTGTTTTAAAGATATGAAAAGGATCTTTCCTTTAGCAGTAATGCAACTTGAATAAGATCATACAAGTTCATCAAAGGAAAGTATGCTATTGTAAACTCGCACACATCGCCATTTGCCCTGGTCACAATATACTTCATGTTTTGGACTGTGTTTTCGAAGACCACATCCTTCTTTATACTTATGACCTTTTTAATCTTGACTAAGGACCACACGTCTTCTGCAGGCTTGACAAGAACCAGATGAAATCTTATCTTCATTTGTGTGCCTTCATCCTTCTCCTTGAATTTATTTTCAGCTTTAAATTGACGCATGATGAACATCATTTCGTTAATTGGACAGTCCAATTGGCTTGCATCCGTATTCGTGACAATATAACTCTGCTTAGGCTTCTTCTCAAACGAATATATGTGATTGAATGCAACCTTGGCTTCAATTGTTTCATAGTTGTAGTTCTTTGATGGATCATCCTTGTTCATGCCAGGAAGATCACTCGCCCTTTGAGTCATGATGCTTTGTATCATCCTCGTTTTCTCTAATTCTGCTTCAGCCTCTGCCTTCTTCTCTTCTCTAGATTTTTCGATTAGAATTGACTTTCCCCTTGCCTTCGAACCTGATTCCTCTATCACTTCTCTTCTACTAGTGTAAATAGATTTACCAATCACAATTCCTTCAAAATTAGTCTTTTAATTGGCACAGTTGTAACTATTGTTGAAATGATAGGACCAGCAGTTGCTATCACTGGTTTTGATGTTGGGATTTTGGAAGGAAACACCGTTCCCAGAACCTTCGCATCTTCGCTAATAGCCTTCGAACCTTCAACTTTCTTTTCTCCCCCTTGCACCCCTATGCTAGTAGGTGGGGCATCTATGGTAGGAAGAAGGCTAGATATTCTGGAAAGCGGAGCCAACTGCTGAAGAAGTAAGGCTTCGAATATGGAAAATTTGTTGATAAGATCTTCAGAAGAGGTAAAGAAGACGAAGCAGGTGCAAAAGATAAAGCTTTAAGCTCCTTTAGCATTGAGAAAACCTCCATGAAATTTTTATTCTCATTTGTAGAAAGTTGAGCAATTTGAGGACTCAAACTTTTGTACAACTTTGCAAATTTAGTAACAGCATCACATATGATATCCAACTTTTGATTAAGAGATGCAAATTCAGTACAAACATTTGCAATCTCTTTCTCCATATCTTGTCTCAGTTCTTGAAGTTTATAATTGACATCTTCTCTCACCTTCTTCACATCCTGAATAAACAAAGTATGTCTCTCCTTCACAACTGACTTTAACTCCTTCAGATCACCGTTAAATGTAGATTTATGAGCATTGACCCTCAGCTCATTATTATGATCACAAATGTAAATTTTCTCGAGAAGACGAGACTCAGAATCCTCAATCATTCTAGACACTTTCGAAGAAATTCTCCCTTCAAACATCTTCAGCATACCATTTACTTCAAGACTTGTTACTGAATTACCTCCCCTAAGATTTGCCTGAGACTGAAGAATTGAATTGAGTTTGGTATTCAATATCTTGAACTGTTTCATTGTCATTAGCATATGATCTGGAAAGTCAGTCTCTTCTTCATCAAACTCTAAATTTTCAAAGGTACCACCAAAACCTTTGGACTCGTGTTCAGTTTCCATAAAAGAAGAATTTTTGATTGGTGAAGTAGTGGTAGGTGGATTAGTTGATTGTGAAGAAAACAGAGATGTGAATGGTTTTTGGATAATGTTTGCAAAAGTAGGAGAATTAGTTGTGGATGTAGAAGGAATGATAAGTGTAACCTGTGAAGGTAAAGAAACAGTTGTGTCTGGGGTAACTTCCAAAGATTTACCTTTGTCTGCAACATGCGAAGCATCCTCACCCATTGTGACACTTGCATTCATATTAGATATGTTTACAAAAATGTCAGAAGTTTGTTCCTCCATAGAAAATGTCTTGGCAATCGAAACTTCGGGTGGTATTATATCATCTTTCTAAAGATCAGCTTCCGGTGTCTCTGGAATGGTTTCATTTTCATCAGTTGTAGACTCTGACGAAAGAATCACTCTACCCTTCTTCTTCTTCCTCGAAATATGTTTGGCCATGTCTGTTGCCCTTCTGTTCTTAGAAGACGGTGATGCAGGGTCAAGAATCTCACGAAAAATGAAACCATGATGCGAAAAATGTGGTTTGCGAAAAACATTGGTTAAAGGTGAGCGACTCTTATGCTTAGACTTCATCTTGATTCTTCGAAAAATCCCAGTCTTCGAAGGAATAATTTCCTTTTGAGTCAAAGGAGTATCAACAACAACAATTTCTAGTTGGATTGGCTCAACTTCTAAGATTGGTACTTTCTTCAGACTCTTTGTTGATGTAGATTCTTTAACAGATTTCTTAGAAGATCCAGCAACAACCTTCTTCGAACATTTCATCTTCTTTTCTTCTTCTCTGGCCAACCGAACCCCAGTTTCAATAGAATTATCAATGTTTTGCAAATAAGTAATGAGAATGGTGTTAGTGGGATCAACCCTTTTCAGTATAGCATCTGGTATGCGAGAAACAAATAGGAATTTATTAGTATCGTCAGCTGCATCATTCAGACAACTATATATATGAAACACCGCCTTTTCTTCTTCTGCTGACACCAAAATTCCTTCCTTCTCATAGAAATATTGTAAGATTAAGCTCCAATAATGAGCACACGAAATGCCATGAATAGCATTCGTGTTCTCTATACTTTTCAAGAACTCCTTCCATAACTGAGTAGAATAATCGACCTGAAAATCGTAGTATAGACCTGCAACCATTAAACTTCCATCCTCCCTTTATCCAACCCAACAGTTCTTCCGGTGAACTGGGGTTGATGACGCATTTAATTGAACATATGGACTATTTGTGGGAATGTAAAAGTGACGTATGGCGGAGAATTAGGTATCTCGAGAATTTGGCAGAAAAGCTTCTTGGAAAGTCTAACCTTCTTATCATTCACAAGATTAAGCAACATTGCATCCAAGGCTTTAGAGTAAGTTGTTGTTGATCCAGCTTGAGACATCCATGATAGAGGAATAGACAATGAGTTGAACATGGCTTTTGATAAAACGGAACTTTTCAGAGCAATGATAAGCATTTTCAGTTCTTCGGGATAGTGAGATACGTTGGCTTCAACTTGATAATTTGTTCCTTGAATCTTTATGATCGGTAATGAAGTTACATCATCGGTGGTATGAGACAAAGTTGCATCAGGATTAGCAGTCGCCATTGTTAGGGTTTGAGAGTTGGATGTTTATCTGACAAAATTTTGGGAATATCAAAGCATAAACTGATAATGAACCTTTGAATCCCCTTTTATATGTAACACTAAATTTTGAAATCAAAGCGGGATAAGCATTTAATGATATGTGATGTGTGACCGAGAATCCCGCGTCATGATGATGAAAAAGTAACCATGCATGATAAAGTAACTGTCACATCTCCTCAAAAGCCGCACAGTATTCAAACAGCCTGGATTGTTTGCCTCAATAGAATAGTAACCGTCGGAACCCTTCAGATGGAGTCAAGGCTGTTTTACTTTATGGTTTCAAAGTAAAGTCATTTGCCAGATTTTTGAAATCATCAGCCTGAGTTGGTATTACTCAGAACCTCAAAGATTTTGTGTGTGTCAAGTGTGTCAAAGAATAAAGATAAGAAGCAAAATAATTTTTTTTTGGATATTCAGTGATGTCAAAAATTCAATTTGAAACAAAGGCATTTAAAACCCTAGGCAAAGATTGCTTTGTTAATTATCAAGAGAGATAATCAATAGCTTTTGTATTTTCCTGTGAATTACAATCGAATACTTGTAAAGAAGTATCGAAGGGCTTCTTTTAAAAGGCTTTTGAGGTGGTTTAATGAATTTCGTTACATATCAACCTAAACATAAGGTGAGTAATTGTAACAAAAATTACTTGTTTGACGAGTGTAGTCAGTGACAAGTTTGCTTTGAAAATTTTTTAAGTAACTAGCGAATTCAGATAAAACTCACACTTAAATCATATACAAGAAAAAATATTTTATTATGGATCATGTTGGGTAAAAAACATCATGGGTGTTGAATATTTTATCAAGACCACGCATAAGAATTGAATATGATTTGGAGTTTCGAACGAAGGTACAGAAACAAACGTTTCGTTAAAATCTGGAGCTAAGTTCCCCGTCAATTCCTTAAAGGTTGATTAAATTGGGTTTCACTTCCATCACGGTCTCAAGATGTATCATAATAAACACATATTTTTTATATATCTAAGTTTCGATTAGTTTGATCATAAACCTCTTGGACATATGACTTCATGTGTGATGGTGTAAGATCTTTGAGATGAAGAAGATTGGTATACGAAGATACATGTACCTTTGTTATATTGGACCAAACAGAAAACTCTTAACTCATGTGAGAAGAGTAAGGTAGCTCATTGGACTAATGCGAATGTTAGCCTAATTGGGAAAAAATCTTCGTATGAAAATTTCATTAAGGATTTCAAACATTGAGTCATTTTGAGGCTTCGGACAACATGCAGTAGTATGCTTCTAGGGACATCCTAACTAGTTAAAAAATTTGAAATTCAAAGAATAAAATGATAAATATACCTCACCCTAGAACTATAAGCCTTATCCCCTTTGCATCTTCATGAAAATCTACAACATAGTACTTAAAAAGAAAGAAGAAACAAAATCTTTTTGGTGTTTTTGATTTTTCAAAAATTAACAAAACAATAAGAAAATCTTTTTGATGTTTTTGATTTTTCAAAAATTAAGAACAAAATAGTAAGAAAATCTTTTTGATGTTTTTGATTTTTCAAAAATTAAGAACAAAATAATAAGAAAATCTTTTTGATGTTTTTGATTTTTCAAAAATTATGAACAAAATAATTAAAAGTACTCGTTGCAAATATTCAAAGATTTATCAAGCTAAAAATACCAATCATACGAATTTGAAGCATTCGAAGAGTTGACTGTGAACAACAACCTTTGAACACTTAGTGATTTTTCTTTGTCGTTTTCTTGTAATCACTGTTTGTCTTTTTCTCATTGAATTGAATTTCCATCAATCATCCCCAGTCCTTCCAAAATTCGTACAAACGATTTTTCATCCAAAGATTTTGTGAAAATATCAGCTAACTAATCCGTTGTCTTCACAAAATGTACTTTAATATTTCCTTCCTCCACATGATCTTTGATGAAGTGATAACGAAGAGCTATATGTTTCGTCTTTGAATGCTGCACAGGATTATGAAAAATTCTTATTGCACTTTGTGAATCACAATATAAAGGAATCTTTTTCATGTTAATTGCATAATCACGTAATTGACTTTGGATCCATATTATCTGTGAAGTGCATGCAACAGCAGCAACATATTCAGCTTCAGCCATTGAGATTGAAACACATGTCTTCTTTTTCGATTTCCAGCTCACCAACTTACCATCGAGTAATTGACATCCTCCACTTGTGCTTTTCCTGTCAAGATTACAACCTCCCAAATCTGCATCCTAATATGCTTGAATAAAGAACCTTGTATTCGAAGGATACCACAATCCTAGCGAAGAAGATCCTTTTAGATAACAAAAGATATTCTTTACAGCAGTGAGATGTGGTTCTCGTGGATTTGCTTGATACCTAGCACAATTAAATATTGAAAACATGATATCAGGTCTACTAGCAGTTGAATAAAATAAAGATCCAATCATGCTTCTGTATAAAGTAAGATCAACTGCAGGTTTATCGAACGAATGAGTTAGTTTGATCCCATTTTCCATTGGAACTCGTAACTTTGTGCTATTCGTTAATCGAAACTTCTCTAGCAGATTCTTCGTATACTTTTCTTGAGTAATGAAGATTCCTTCTCTGCTTTGATGAATGTTTAAACAAATAAAATTATTAATTTTTCCCATCATCCTCATTTTGAACTTACTTTTCATCAGGTCTTCGAATTCTTTAGACAAAACAGGGTCAGATGAGCCAAAGATAATATCATCAACATAATTTTGAACAAGCATAAGATGATTCCCAACTTTCTTACGAAATAATGTGGGGTCAACTGATCCTTGTTTAAATTTAGATTGTTTCAAAAATGAAGTAAGAGTTGCTTATGAGGCTCGTGGTGCTTGTTTCAAACCATAAACTACCTTATCTAAGATATAAAAATAATTAGGATGTTCTTCGTTAACAAAACTTAGAGGTTGTTCCACATAGATAGTTTCTTCAAGTTCTCCATTTAGAAATGCACATTTCATATCCATTTGATAAACATCAAAATCTTTGTGAGCTGCATAAGCCAAAAATATACGAACCACCTCGAGTCTTGCGATAGGGGCAAATTTTCTTCATAATCAATTCCTTCTTGTTAAGAGTATCCCTTAACAACAATTATGGCTTTGTTTCGAATGATATTTCCATCTTTGTCAGTTTTGTTTTTGAAAATCCATTTTAACTAAACAATCGAAAAATCATTTGGCTTAGGAAATAATCTCCAAACCTTATTTCTTTCAAATTTAGACAATTCAAATTGCATTGCAACCACCCAATCTGAGTGTTCCATTGCAATCTTTACAGTCTTTGATTCAATTTTAGAGATAAAAACATTGAACATGCAAAACTCTTGATGAGTATTTAATACCTCGTTCTTTTCATGAATTTGTGCCCTTATTAAAACTCCCTCTTGTGGAATACAAATTATTTGTTCCTAAGATGATCTTTTGTCCATTTTTCCATTGGTGGATAAGCTGGATCGAAGTCCAAAGGTGCATCTCGTACAATTCATCATTATTTGAACCTGCAACTGACCAAACATCATTAACATCATGATAATTTTAATTATTTTCTAATATCTCGTCCTCATCATTAGCATCTATGTAACGCCCGTAGATCCGAGCTAGTCAATTTAGAGGTAATAGGGGTCGAAAATGAATTTTCGACAAAATATTATTTTGAATAAATAATCTTAACCAATAGGGGTCGAAAATGAATTTTCGACAAAATATTATTTTGAATAAATAATCTTAACCAAGTTTTAGAACATGTCACAAGGTTTCCGTACATATAAAGAGCGTCGAAATCCGAGTTATAACGAAGAAGTTATGACTCGTCGAAGTTTCGCGACGGAACCTGCACGACACCCGGAAGCGTAAATAGTGATTTTACGATGGAGGACTTTTTATCCTTAATGATATAAAGGAAAGTTGTAGAATATGTTAAACCGAGAAAATCCATAAAAAGAACGCCGAAATCTGACTTCGTATGAAGAAGTTATGATTTTTCTAAGATTCGGCTTAATAGTGCACGACCTGAAACTCGAATTTTAGTTCGAGCGGTTTTTGGCTTATGTGACTTAAATGAGAGTTGAATAACTCATTAATAGGAACTTAACAGTAAAAAGACAGATGAAAACAGAGTCCGTACGAA